CTTATTTTGAGGTTTTATATTACCTCGTATTGTCCTTGTGTTCCCTGTCATTTTATAGATGGATACATTTTTAATAAACATCTTTGATAATTGATTCATTGTTTATTTATTGTGTACAATAAAGCTCACTGCATCAAAGGTTCATGTTAATGAATGGTGAAAAAGGGCAAAAGGAAAAGCTACTTTGACCCATAACACGCCTTCTTGTCAATATGGGCCCGTGAAGATCCGGCGTAGAATAGGTCTTCGGCAACCCATGCTTGCCGTAAAAGGTGACTATGCTTGTCATAAGAGGGGACTAACGGGATCGGGTGGTCAGGCTCGCTTACTTGGTTTATGCATGTCATCAATCCCAATTGCGTGGATCGATGCTCATGTCTTTAACATATTAACATATTAAATAAAAGTGACAAAACCCTTTCAACAGTCACAAGAAATCTCTGCTGAGAGCAGAGTCCATTGTACGATTCTGACTGTTTCATAAGCTTGTGTTTATGAATCACTATCAAATAGTGATTCCAGGTGTTGGCTTAAGGTGCATAGTCTCCCCACCAGAGGCACCAATCACGAACACATGCAAAGGCAAGTCAAATGTTCCCCTGAAAAACATGCGAACATATGGTAGTCAGTATCGTGAACTCAATCAGACATCATATTTGCAAATGGCCTCAACATGTCTACCCTAAAACATATTGAAAACTTTACAAAGGCCTTGAATGCTGGAACCCAAATCACACAAATTTTGAGGAGTTTTATGATGCTCTTTGAAATATTCTTAGAAAGAACATGCATGAATGTACATCAAAAGTTGTTAAATGTAGACACCAAAGGCTGGAACTGGAGAATCTCACCTGAGTGTCTTTTGATATCAAATATATCAACACAAGTTGATAAAAGTGGAAAAATTCCGAGGCTTGCCAAGGATTTTTGCCACTTTTATCAACGAGTGTTGATATATTTGATATCAAAAGACACGAGGGTGAGATTTTATTTATCATCCAACATCATTCTTTCAACTTTTTAAATTTGTAGACAGTAATTAGCAGCGTCTTCAGTGTAAAAAGTACTGCAAACAGCTTCAGTAGCAGAGCCATTAGTGATGTCATTTGATTGTGACGTCATGGTAACCAGTGACGTCACAATGGTCTGCAAAGCATTGTGATGTAATTTCATTGCAGCGATATCTACAGTGTAGATATCGCTTGATCTCATCCAAGTGATATCTCCTGTGGCAGCCAGTTTTGGATAATAAATTGCAACATCATTTCACCAAAAGGATAAGCATCTTGAGACCTGTATTGACATTCCTTCCACATCACAGGGAGACACTGCTAAAGGTTGTGATGCCGAGTATATGGAATTGAAACATTTTCTCACTCTTATTAGTGTTATAATTGACTACTAGATTGATCTACAGGAGGTGGCACATGGCCTTGTGTATAGCACACAGGTCACAAATCAGGTGAAGCAACTTTGGTCATGGAGAGAAGTTGATGAGTGACAATGTTCGGCAGCTCGATTGCTTAGAGCTTCTAGACTTCTGTCCTGTTCCACTGTGGTGTTTCATGGGCAAGTGACTTTGTCTGAAATATGCCTCTGTTCACACAGCAGTGAATGGGTACCCGGTGTTAGCTGCCAAAATCCCCTTCAGAATATACCCAGGTAGATTCTGGGTGCTCCAAGAATCTACCATGGGGTAGATTTGGGGGACTTCCCAGAATCTACCCCACTTTCCCAGAATCTACCCTGGGGTAAAATCTGGGAGTTCCCGAAATCTACTCGGATGTAGATAATAATAAATTGTTATTGAATCCAAAAATTCAAAATGTTGTTTTATACATGCAAAGAAGAAATAGATATTGTTTAAACTAATTAAAAATATCTTACAAATCACATTGACTCTAACTCATTGTAGTCATACTCAATTTGTAAGTTCGAAAGTTGGTGTTGAGAATTGTGTGAGAAAATGTCTTACACTTATGTTATTGAATAAGCTTTAACATGCTTTGTGAATAGACCTAGCTACTTTTGATTGCATATAAAATCATTTTGAAACCAATTATAAGTATGCAGTTGTGTCTGTAAGTACCTTTGTTTGGGGAGGCATGTATCACAGTATCAAGAATATATTCTGACTATAGAAGACATCACATCATTAAAAGCATCTAACTATTTGTCCATTTACATTCTTATTCATCTAAATATAGTCAGATGGGTGTAATAAATTTCACGAACCAATCGCCATTGTCGTAGCCAGAGTGTTTATGTTATTATCAATACAAATAGAGAAAACTAACATAAAATATGAGAGCAATTTTATTCTGAAAACCAATACCCAATGATTCCATGAATTATTTCAATGTCACTGGACATTTATCACGACGTTAAAGTGTTCATGGAGGTTGGTCAGATACACTGCACCAATGGGGAGCTTCTCAAGCGTGAATGATGCTGGGTAGCATAGCCATTTCAACTCCTTGCCATAATGGGTATAGACAACAATGTCAGTTTGCAGAAGAGAAGCAGTGGCCATAATCTCTGCATCCGTTGCCCAGACACCATTTACGGCCATTCTTGATGAGTCTAAGTACTTAGTCACGTTCTTCCTTAGCGGCGTGGTACAGGGTTCAGTTCTGTGCTGTTTAAAGCTTGGCACCTTGTCTGAACTTGGACTTGGCATTGGTACGAAGATCACCCTTGAACTTGTAGATCTCCCCTGGATAGCTGTAGTCAGATTTGGTCAGGTACCCCAAAGCGTCGTCACAAACTTGATCATCCATAATTAAAAGTGGATAAAATCAGTACCTTTGGCATTTATATATATACATGTACATGTGTATAACGTACTCAAATGAGTCACATTCTCATCACACATGTGAGATTTCTTTAATTATGATTACTGTTTGGTGTGTTATACTTTACAGACTTTACACCGGTATAATGAGATGGAATTTGGCACATAAAACAAACTCATTATTATTTTTACAAACTGAAAATGTAAGATAGATAAACAAAGTGGTGTTTAAAAGACTTATCGGCTCCATCAGCTAGTGATATGTAAATGAGCCAATTCCAGGAATTCCTCGTGGAGATTCCTGCTTAGACAATGGGGTGACCATACAGATTGGGCGGATGCTCACAATATTGATCACTGGAATGTGTGCTCCAGGCTAAATTTAATTATTTAGAAGTATAATGCTTAAATTTGGAAGGTCTAAAGGATAAACAACACATGTTCGTATGTTGGTCCTCAAATTTGATTCAGACTACTTCTGACATGAATCGGGCGCCCAGGCCTATTTCCTGGTCTGTTCCCTGATCTTTGCTACCTACCTCTCTGCATGTCACGAATTGAATTCCAAGTTTAAAACGCGAAGGTTAAACCAAAAAGTGGCACGCACAGAACTTTTGAAATCAGAAATAATCACACAAGATTAGTGAACAATGAAATTATACTATAACACACAGGATTACGTTTGTGATCACAAAGCAATACAATGGGTCAATTGGGGTCCTCCCATTTGTCAGACACCCATCTGTCAAACTTCGCTAAAATGAGCATAAGTGTTTGGGAAAAAATACTCTGCCATTTAGAAAGTGGTCAAATGTAAACAAATGTTATATTTGGGATAACCCTTTCTTAGTAAAGTACAGATTCTCGTCCCTTTTTGGGTTGAGTCTCGTCTGGGATTCGAACCCACACTGCCAGAGTGAGGCACCTAATCGTCAGCACACAAAGTCAGGGATCTAACCCACTCAGCCACCGAGGCTTCCACAAATATGGGAGCTGAGTGGGTTAGATCGCTGACTTTGTGTGTTACCCCAAATATAACATTTGTTATAAATGGATTACATATATCAAACGAACATTTGAGAAAAATACCTTTAACCGAAAGAAAATGTCCACTTTGTTAACTCTCTGACATAGGTGATGAATTCGATTATTTGTTAAGTTGAATGACTGACAGTACATTGACATTGATGTGGAAGTAAATATAACTATATTCATAATGATTGATGGTCATTAGATATCATGAATATGTTATGTATTATACTTCATGTATATAATGTAAGACTCCTTTAAGTGAGCAATATATTCCAAAGTATAAAGCAATAATAAGCAGTTGTATAAATTTGTTTTCTTTTGTACCAGTTGTCGGATAGGACTATTCGATTCGGATTTTAGGGAATATATCACACACCTGATGTGCCCTCAACCATTAACGTTGTTGTTTAGAGCTCTCTGGCAAATGTGTGTCTGACAAAAGTGAGATGACCGGTCGATTATGTGGCAGCAACAATAAATGCCAATCACTGGACTGTCTGGTCCAGACTCGATTATTTACAGAACGCCATAATATAGCTGGATTATTGCTGAGTGCTGCGTTAAACAAACAAACAAACAAACAAACACATAATCGAGTGTGGACCAGTCAATCCAGGGATTGTCACAATGAGCATTGATCCACGAAGTTGAGATACGGTGACATGCATCAACCAAGCCACCGAGCCCGACTGCTCGTTCCATCTAGTCAATCAATTGTCACGCAGCTTGCAATGATCAAGGGTATCAGAAAATAAGAAGAAAGTGATAAAGAAAGCGTGGTAATAGGTTTCACAGGTTTATTAAATAACGACTTATGAGGGCTGGGGCGAGTCCGAATTTACTACCCGGGTACCCACCCCCCTATTACCCGACCCTACCCGGGTACCCTCTGTAGGTCTCAAGAGATAGGTACAAAATGTCCGTTTGGGCATTTTTTAACATAGCACTGGCAAAACGTATTTAGATAATGTATAAAATCATTATGGTCATGCATACACTGAAGTTGACTCAAGTTATATCTTTATTCAAAGATATGAAAAGTCAAAAGAAATTGGTGCATAGTCAGAAAGAAATGCGAACATTTGTGACTTGTAGTGTAACCATAGAGTTCTAGATACTTTTTGTCATTAAACAATATATCACGTGACTAACCACGGGTCCGGGTAGTCCCGTGGGACCCGGGTCCTTCTCAGTACCCACCCGACCTGGGTACCCGAGTTACCCGTCCCAGCCCTACTACTTATTGTACGAATAGTTGACAATTAAAGATAAATCCAATCTGCGCTCACACACATCACAAATTAATTATATCAGCGCAAACATACAACCGCATTTTAGCCAAACAACTGTTTTAAAGCTATAAAGAGGAGGGTAGATAAAACAACCCTTTGACAAGATACGGACCAGATGAGTAGACTGCCAATTAATTCGGCTGCGACCAATTGACACCTGAGTCAATTAACTCCACACTGTAGTGAGTGAATAACCTCGTCTGAGGAAAATAACGGGAAATAAAAACTGAGGGCTTATCCCTAAAATAAGTCACTTAGACTACAGAATAGACGATTACATCTCAATATCAACTGGTCATTATCGACTAGTTACGACTGTCACTTTGACTGAACAAGGAAATACTAAATTTCCCAAATGCCTAGTCAATCACGGGATGGTTGGTTATCCACGGATTGCTAGAAAAACTGAGTATTACAAACCCTAGTTACTGAGTGCCAAGTCAATTACGGGAAAGTTGGTTATCCACGGATTGCTAGAAACAACCCAGTATTAGAAACGCCAGTTACTTAGAGCTGAGAAATCACGGGAAGGTTGGTTATCCACGGATTACAAAACCCTAGTACCTAAGTTTAGTTCAGTACATACAGATTAAGTCAGAATCAAGATCGACATAGCCCCGAACCCACCTACTGACGAAACCTGAGTTTCGACCGTTATCACTCCAGTGACAACGTAAGTCAACGCTTAACCACTAGGCTACTCGATCGCCCATATAGATTACCCAGAGGCCTCATGGATTGTTGTTATGCAAATGTTATAAAATCATGGGACCAAGAAAAGAGTAAATTTGTCATGAAAAGTGTCTCCGTTTCAGTGTTCACCCATTTACATTTACTTCATAAACAAGCCTCAAGTAAGAAAAACACTCTACCGACAAGCCCTGCTATACCATTTGCAGGACCATGTCCAGAGATGTCTTCGTCCTGCAGCAGGATGCTGTCCAGATAGTCCGCTATATTGCTCATCTTGTCTGGATTCAGTTGTGCGACTTTGATCAAAGTGGCCATGTTTTGTTTCATCTTGAAGCAAATAATGTCACGATTAACTGGACATTTCGTGTAATATGCTCGATTAGGATGTTGCTTATCAATCAGAAGTTCATGACACTTGTCAGGGTTAAAGCACTCACGCAGAAATTTGGAAATGTCTTTCAATTCTTCATTGTTGCACATTGATGATAGTTTGTGAAGTGTCAGAAGATTTTGTTCAATCAAGGAACTCAATGGCTCTGGAAATGATTTAGCCTGTTTCAGGAAATCGTTGATTTCAACACTGTGTTTTTCATGAACATCAGCATCGGGGGGCATTTGTCGGCGATGTATCATGTCAGTGAAACAAGATTCGTCACATTCTTGTTGGTGAAACGAAGCTCCGTGTCTACTTGTTGTATCTACACGTTTCTGATGTCCAAACTTGGGTACAGCACCAACCGATGGAACACTACTGATGGTTGATCTAGGATTGCAGGATTTGGACAGTACTTCACCATCAGGACCATTTGTGGCCAACAAGTTTCTTCTCTCGGGCGTGCCGCTGTCTGTAACATTGTAAGCACAGGAGGCTTTCAACTTGCTAGCGAGAGGTATATCAGCGCAGGATTCCTCAGTCTCCTTCATTCTGAGTTGGCTTTCCGTCGGCCTTTGTTCATGATCAGATGGAGCATCCCTGTCATATTCTCTTGAAGTATCGTTGTTTGTGCAAATACCATCCAAGTTTGCATTATAATCCTGCAAAAAAACCAAATGCGGTCTATTCCTTGGAGCATAGAATACCGTTGCATCAGTGAAATAGTTTAGAAGTCGATGACTGAACAAAGGGCTTGCAATGCAGGCTAAGTAAAGACTAGTACTACAGATTTATTTGTTTTAAATTAAATGTGCGCTCAGTAGACCTTGATGTTAAATCTGATATGCTTTGCAGTTGTTAGAATTCAAATTGCGTTTCTATATTAGACTGGGCAAAGTAACATTGATTATCGGAAAAATATCGCCAATAAATAATGTTATATTACACCATTAATGCTATTTTCTTAGAACGATTTTTAAATGGAGTATTTAGCAGTTGTATGAATCATGGATTTAGAATTCACTCAACCTCTTACACATGGTAAGAATTACATACCAAATCTATTGTAGGTACGTATCTTGACAGCCCTCCCTCTTCTTGCGTGCCTGCAAAACAGAAATAAAGAACGCCAACTAAATGTAAAACTATCATTTGTATGAATAATTTATATTTTTGCGACCACAAATAACTATGTACATGGAAAAATACATGTGTTATATGTGACTACTATAAGAAGCTGTATATGCCATATTATCAGAGAGCATCAGAGGACGGTATTGAAGATCTGAATCAAATCACTCCGACAATGGTAACCCGATGAGGTAGGACTTGGAAATTGAAATCTCCGTAACATCTCTCGATTGGCCAGGATCGATGGTGTGATTAATAGCGTCACTTCGTACCCTGACGGCGTACATCGTTGCTTATGATATCGGTCACTGGACTGTCTGATCCAAACTCGCCGTCATATATCTGGAATATTGCTGATGGTGCGTTACATCATACAAACAAACAAAACAAAAGATGTATTTCCATACCTGCTTGTGTCTTGTCATTCTCAGGGATGAACAACAGCATGGATTCCTTCGATGAATCAGCATGGATCGCAAACTCCGACCTCTCCTCTGTCAGTGGCCTCACACGATCGCCAACTTCACGAGGGACTGTCACGTTAACATTCACTGAAAGTAGTGTGCACTCATTAAATTGTCCGAATAAATATACTTGGTTCCAAATAGTTATTATCACCCAAAACTGGCTTCCACATCGCTTGTGTGAGATCGGAAGATGTCTCCTGGGAGATACCGCTTCAATAAAATTGCATCACAATGCTTTGCAGATTGAGAAGAACATTTCTTCGTACCTAACATTCGTTTATTCGGAAATTTGTTAATCCTGACCCTTTTACTTGAAACATTCATCGTCCGAATTCCCTGGTTTTCGAATTTTAGGAATTATCTTTTACAATCAGATTAATAGGAAACTTGGTTATAAGTCTTGTCATATCTCTTACGCATGCAGTACTTTCATTGTCGAGTTCTTAATCACCGTTTCTTATCATGTGAAGATCCGGGGTAGAATAGCAATAGTCTTCAGCAACCCATGCATGCCGTAATAGGCGCTTAAGCTTGTCGTAAGAGGCGACTAACGGGATCGGGTGGTCAGGCTCGCTGACTTGGCTGATGTACGTATGTCATCGATCCGAATGGCGTTGATCGGTGCTCATTATGTCAATCACTGGATTGTCTGGTTCAGACTCGATTATTTACGGAACGCAGTCATAAAGCTGGAATACTGCTGAGTGCGGCGTTAAACAACAAACTGACTCACTCATCACGTGAGGGTTTACAGTGACATGAGGAAATTCATTCATACTTAAGTGTCGCAATGTGTTAACACGCCAAGGTCAGAAATATCACACCCATAACACGACAGTTTGCTAACAACCGACCATGAGATGTAGGAAATAACAAGAATTTAACATCGTGAATGATTGAAAATCATTTTCTGAAAAGGGTAGACACTAGAGAAATGTCAGTGTTGTTCTCAGGTAAAATATATGTGTTATTTTGTGATGAAGTAGATTACCGGTATTTGTTTGTTTGTATTTTATACGCCACACTCCAGCTATATAACGGAGAATAGCAGAACATTAGTCTTTTAAGTTATCATACAAAATTTGTAAATAAAACAATTAATCTATTTACTTACAGCTTATTTCCAACATTGATGTCCGTTGTGCCAAGTGCTTTTGTTTTGGTTCGCATGAATCTGAAATAGAAAATAACGGGGATAGTTTGCAAGTACTTGCCAAAGCATAAGCAGACCCTTTTCTGCAATTTTCCCAAAGTTCCCAAAATCGTACCATACTATATACTTCCAACATGATTTCTTTACCTTGGCCTTAATCAAGACAAGTACTGAAGACACAACAAAATCCCAAGCCTCAGGATTGTACAGGGATAGGTGCAACAGTTACTGCCTATGAATGATATAACCATGTTCCTCAATGACTTCAAACTGATAGACACGTCACCAACATTTCATGGGGTAGAATTTATAAAAAAACAACATGCCTGTAGAGGTAACCATATCCCCAAAATGCCAATGACATAACCACGTTTCTTTAAAACCTGCATGGTGACCCATGGTTACGCAAAAGGAAGTCCTCAGGGCCATGTGGACGAAGTCTATTCAAGAATACTTTTTAATATTGATACTCTTTGTGTTGTAGGCATAAGAAAAGTCAACGACGACTGAAGCCAAAATTCCAAGAAAACCTATAAAATTACTCAACTGACAGTCCTAGAAAATTTGATTCAAAATCCATTTTGTTGTAATTCATAGTGATGTACATAAATACCGTACTTGTCCTAATTACACACAGTCAATGTCTCGGATTGACTCAAGTCACTTATTGACCTTTTTCACACTGCGCTACTTCCGGTTTGAAAGCGAGGCTTGGAGAGCAGAAGGTGAAGGCTGGATAGCACATAAAACACATGGAGATGTCAACAAGGCATGCAATCGGGACAAACTGTGACAATTTAACCATCCCTGTACATTTATCAGAAGTATTGAACATTGTTCTTATTGACAAACTATTCTACTGTTATCTGGTCTCCTTACCGATATAAATTTGAGTCTGGCCGTTCTGTTGTGATTTCAATTTAAAATATCCATGACCACCTGGTTACTCCCAGTGCAGTTTATGGTAGCTGAACAGACTTAATACAAATTCTACTGAAATCTTGTAAAAAATAATTCATTGTTTACACACCATTAAGCCAAACTATTTATTGTGAGTTTAAATAACTTTGCAGGTTGTATTTGAAGTCGAAATATTGACCTTTTGACCATATCTATATATGTCAGAAACTAACTAAATTGATATGTTGATATAATGTATCAAATTGTAACCTACTGAGAATTTACAATCGTAACAAATCAGAAGTTTGCATCAGTTGTGCATTTCATGTAAATTGTAATGGACTCAAATGCATTCCAATAAAATATTATACCTCTAGATCTACTTGTGCTGTTGGGATTGTGAACAGTTGTTATTTTGATTGTCAATGTTGACAGATTAGATAGCATGAGGTGTAATATTTCAACTGAATTATTACATAAAGGGTGTGTAAATATTGAAAGTAAAGTACAGTTTGATCTGCAATTTTGGTAACAATTCATATTTCTACCAAAATGATATTTACTTTACTGTACCAATTTAATCATGTCATGAAATGAACAAAAACCCAACTAATAATGTCCAGTAAATGTTCAATCTACATGTGATCTTTATATAATTTACAGAAACAGATAACTCTTTAACAGTTTGTATTCAAATATTTCAAATGCATAAATTGATATTGACATTACTAAAAACTTAAAGTATAAAAAGAATTATTTTTAATTCCCATGCGTATTGCAATCATAACTCATTTATTCCCTTTGTTTAATTGTGAAACTCATCTGGTTTTATGTCCACAAACATGTTTTGAAACTTTTAAAACAAAAAGATATTTTTTGGTGCAAGCAATTGCCATGTATTATTGATTATTAATCATATCAATTTATATATAAGAATATAGTTGTGCTTACTGTGTCATTTTGCAATAATTATATTGTTATGATGTAATATTTTACTATTGTTAACAATCTTTAGAACTTTAGTTTATTTCAATCACGTCAAGTGGTGTGATCATTTTGATATTTTTTTTATAATTCAATCAAAACGAGAAAAATAAAAAAATATAAATACATAGAAGAAATTTGTTTTCCTTGTCAAATAACGATGATAGCATGAATTTATCTCATGCTCCTTGTGTAGCATGCTCCTTGTGAAAATTCATTCCATTTCTTCTTGAATGTACCTTATATGATGATTTTAGGGAGACATTACTGACAGCTATCGATAATCTTGGAGGACAAAATACTCTACATAGTATTCTTTTTGGTGATTCAAACTTAGATGTTTTCCTGAATACAAAAATATTCTTGTCTGTACACAAATTTATAGAAACGACTAACAGATTCAGTAGCTAGCATATTATTGTTTCCAAACTGTTAATCATTAATATTGTTAAATCTATATTCAACACTAAAATGTATAATATTAGGATATGTATGAGATGCACACTGTCTTCACTTTCCAGCACATTGTACATATCCTTCATATGAACACTGTATATATATTGCGCACTATGTTTCCACAATGTGAAGCTTCAACTGTAAATTGTTCATTTTCATTATGCAATATTATGTATAACTGTATATAGGGAGAAGGCGGTAATAAGTGCTGCCCTTTGTCTTTTTGGACAATAAAATATGTTTAATAATATTTCATCTTGTGATCTGACAAAGTTAATATTTTCAAGTCAAAATATCAACTTTAGTAAACCACATGAAGAGATAAATATTGCATTTGACAAAATAAATTCAAGTCTTATATTTTCTTTGTGATCTTCATGACCTTACTCAGAAAACCATAGTGTCAATGAGGCAGACTGACTGTAGGTGTGACAAAACGTGATATTTCACCTGATTTTAATAAAAATCTTATTTTTTTCACTCTAGCGAAAGTATGTTTTCAGCATGGTCATGATTAAATACATACCGGTAATACAAATATCAAAACGTGTTTCATTAAAACAAGAGTGAATTTCTGTGTGACATTGATATAAAGAGCTGTAGTACACTGTCATTAAATTGATGCATCTGTTGAGTTTACCCTTTACACAGAATATACTGTTAGAGTTTTCGACATATCAGATGAATTGATGCCTTCAAGATTGTTCTAAAGTACATGTAGCATGTAATGTTACACACTGTGATTAATTTTCCTTAAACTTCTCTATTTCAGAAGAATGTTGTTTTCTAAATAAGCAATATTTTGAGAGAAGGTGAATATGCATTGTTTATAAAAAATGTTATTGAAGTAGGAATATTATTACAATATAATAGAATTATTCATTTCAGGCCAGCGAGTCAACACAATGAAGTACTAGTATCCGGTGACGGATGTCAGGAGGAGCTTTCTGCTGACAGTAACACACTGGTTACAATGTGCGTCCTGTCAAAGGATGAGGAAGTGAAAAGCCATATTCATTCAATCAACAAATGTGGTTCCTGTCACATTTCACTTAAATAGGACGAGGAACTGAAAAGCCTTATTCACTCACAAATCAACATAGCCAATATTTATCGGACACTGAAAAAGCACATTGTACCATTTGTTATTTTCTCCTGGAATTTAATTAGGTGCTTTTGACTGACAAAGACACCCATTTCATGTTAAGTTTTGAAAACTTATGTTGTGAGAAATAAAGATATGAAAATTTTGGTTTGTTTTTCTTTGTCAAATATGAGAAATCCAGATTGTTCCATCAACATAATTTGTACCGATACATATATTTTATCTTGGCTTGATTACCAATTGAAGTTGATTTCTTTTTATCTTTTGTTATTTTATCTGTACTCATATCTGATCAAGACATTTTCAAACTATTCAGGATAAATGTATTAGTAGCTTCCTTTTGATATACAATTACCTTTCATCATACAGGATTAGGTGAGGGTGTTCAAGAAGTTGGTAGTTGTATCAATTCTTATATTTCTTCAATTTCATGCATTATTTAAATGTATCAATTTTTAGTTTCCTTTTAACTTATTTTAAACAGTTCACACATTATTACTTTTGTAGTGCACGGTGCAATCTCAATCGGCAATAATCAGTTAAGTAAGTGATGTTTGAAGAACAAGTAAAGTATCATCTGTCATTGTACACACTGAATAGGTTTATCGCCCCTTCTGAATATTTATTTTGACACACGAATTATTTTCATAATTAACATTGTAATATGTTAAAATGAAAATCATAGCAGAAAAAGTGTCTTTTGTCAACTGGACTCATGGCAAAACGATAGTGTGTTGTGCAGCAAACACCACTATGAAACGTGAAATAAACATGATCTCAATCTTGATCTAGAATTCGCCAAGCCACGCATTGACTGACCAATTTTGCAAAAGTACACTGACGTGTTTCATGTTATGCGGTTTATTTACGATAGAAAACTTCTGTCATTGAATGTACTGTCACATTGTACTTATATGCCGAAGAGGTTATGATAACACAATCTATTTCTGAAATACGTATCTCGAAATGCACCTTTCGATTCACTTCCGGGATCCTGACAGCAAAATGCTAATTCCAGTGTATAACAGGCATATTTTAGTTGGACCTCATCATTTAATGTGAAATATCTTCTGTATTATTTACAGAGGATACCATTTTTTGTTTGTTTGAAATGTCCATCAGTGAAATGCACAACATGCTGTCTATTCCCTATGAGCTGATGCGACTCTCACTGCATGGAGCTATGCTCTCCAAGCCTCGTTTTCGATCCAAGATGGCGAAAGTGTGAAAAAGGTCAATTACAACGTCTTGACCAAAGATGAGACCGCCTCCGTGGTCTAGTGATAGAGCGTCCGCCCGGAGAGCGGAAGGTCCGGGGTTCGATCCCCGACCGCGTCATACCAAAAGACGTTAAAAGATGGTACTTGTTGTTACCCTGTCTGTCGCTCGGCATTAAGGGGCTAAAACAAGGACTGGTCGGCTCGGAGTCAGTATACTGTGTCTGAGTGGGGTATTCATGTTAAACTGTGGCATGGTATCTCAGTGAGCTAGCACTATAAAACGGCACCAGTCCGGACTAGTACAAGCAGCCACACACACACACACACGTACATGCACGTCGCTATATAAGTGCAATAATCTTGGACGCGACGTTAAACCCCATTTCACCTCACCACCTCACCATCTTGACCAAAGCCGAAAGTGGGTACAAAATCGATGAAAATAGTCTTCTTAAAGCAGCACCCTTATATTTCGGATCTGCCTATAGGTCCGTTTACTAACTTACCGTCAGTGACGCCATGTTCGTTCTCAGTGCCCTCTTTAAGCCCGTGTATGCTGAGGTCTGTGAGAGGAAAAATGCAGTTGTAGTTGCTTACATCCCTCCTGCAGATCTGGGTGAGAATTGGTCTTAGGAACCCATGCTTGTGAGAGGCGACTAACGGGAAGCGGGTGTAACAACTGTTCTATATGGGATAACACTTTCTGAGTACAGTACAGATTCTCATACATTTTTGGGGTGAGTCCCGTCCGGGATCTAGACTACCAGTTGTCGGACTTTCATTTTTTTGGAAGCCTCGGTGGCTGAGTGGGTTAGATCGCGGACTTTGTGTGCTGGCGGTTAACTGCCTCACTCGGGCAGTGTGGATTCGAATCCCGGACGGGACTCAACCAAAAAAAGGTACGAGAATCTATACTTTACTCAGAAAGGGTTATCCCAAATATAACATTTGTTACGTTTGGCCACTTTCTAAATGGCATTGTGGGAATCGGGTGGTCAGACTCGCTGACTGGATTGATGCACGTAATCGTATTTCAATTGCGTAGATCGTCATTATGTAGATGTAATAATGCTGAATACGGCTTTGAACAACTACCAAAAGTTGCTTCATTATACTTAGTTGACAGTAATTAGTTAATTGATAGTTATACAATAAATATATACCCTGTATTATGTAACAGTGTAATCATTTTACCTTTTAGTTGCATTTAAGAGAAAGTGCAGTTCAGTCAAGGTGATATACTTGTATACAAACGGTGAAAGTGTACTGACTGAGATTAGCTGTGTTGTGGTGGTTGTTTATGACGTCTCCAAGAACGTTGCCGATCACAGTTGAATCATATATACGGCTGCCAGATGCACCTGTAATTGATAGTGTTGTGTTGGACGCTGCAACCTTGTTCTTGGCACCTGAAATATAACGTGACACACGTCAACACACATCTTCTCACTACTGCCATTGGTACGTGAGTATTAACATATATAGTGGCCCAATCGTCTAAGCGCCGGGATCGCCTGTGTGGTCTAGTAGTAGAGCGTCCGCCCGGAGAGCGGAAGGTCCGGGGTTCGATCCCCGGCTGCGTCATACCAAAAGACGTTAAAAGTACTTGTTGTTACCCTGCCTGGCGCTCGGCATTAAGGGGCTAACACAAGGACTGGTCGGCTCGGATTCAGTATACTGTGTCTGAGTGAGGTATTCATGTTATCTTGCGGCATTGAATCTCAGTGGGTTAGAACTATAAATCGGCATCAGTCCGGACTAGTACAAGCAGCCACACACACACACACGTGCATACATGTCGCTATATAAGTGCAATAATCTTGGACGCGACGTTAAACCCAATTTCACCTCTCCTAGCTGGTTGAATTTGGAGATTATCAGTATGTATGAATGGCCTTGTGAGTACTCCCTGCATATATATATATATATATATATATATATATATATATATATATATATATATATATATATATATATATATATATATATATATATATAAAGTGCAATAATAATCTTGGACGCAACGTCAAATCCCATTTCACCTCACCCCACCTCACCTCACCTCACCTCTAAGCGCCGGAATTCGTTGTGCAGAGGTACATCCCTTAAGGCGTGCTCATTGGTTTCTACAAATGGAATCTACGACCTGCATCACTTCGGACTTGCCTCCCACATCAAGCTTACACGCCGTTATATAACCGAAATACTGTTCAAAGCGGCGTTAAACCCAAATCACTCGATCGCGTATATTTATAAACAAATAAATGGTTGAGGAGTGACAAGGGCTTTTGTAACTAACATATTTTAAAGGAAAACACGTGGAAACGTTTAGAAACCAATATGAAAAATATCAAGTCAACTTAGGTCACGTACTTATTGTTTTATTGTTAGATTTGATACACAATTTAAAAAATCTTTGTCACTCATTGCAGCTATACCTCAAACCTTCAACAAAGGATAGAAAGAAAAGAAGCAAATGATCAGTAATAGAAACAACTAACATTGTATTGTGACCTTAAAGTATTCTATTACCGTATTCGACGTATCCTAATAAGCGCCCACGGCGATATTTGCTAATATATTGGCTAGTGAACAATCCCAGTTAGCACCCCTCCCGAATGATCAATGTACATGAGACTTATTTATTCGTGTATAACACGCACGCGTGTGTTATATGCACTCTTAATTATGGGCAATTAAATTCTGGAAAATATATCTGTCGTGTATGATACGCACATACTTTTCTTTTGTATCATTTCAGGCTGTCAGCATAAAGTACGAAATTTACGATCTTTCAACTCTGTTGTTTTTGTCAGCAAAATTATATTCTAATAAGAGCCCCCTATTTCTAATTTTGAGAGCACGCAGGGCGCTTATAACGTCGAATACGGTATCATTTCTAGTGAGCCACAAAGGTTGTAATTATATTTCTTCCTTCTCAACACTGTCCGTTTTTTTTCTGAGCATGCTTGTCCTACATTATGCGTGGTGACTCAACTGTTCTTTCATAACCTATATACGGCGTTACTAAGGCTGTTATCTTATACGCTCATGTCAACATGGAGTATTCTTAAGAGTGAATATATACAACCGAATACATGACATGCAACTGTTATTTGTGACCACAATACTATTTTTTACGAATATTCAGAAGCTGGCTGACCTGTGATACTGTCAACACAGTGTATATTATGATATCAACAGTAACACAATGGTTGCAAAGGTTGTGTTAATAGCCGTCATCAATACCTCTACAGATATCTAGAACATATTTGAACAGGCAGTACACGTTAACAGCGAAGTCGTGAGCTTGAATGTAATACTTAATGGAGTTACCGTTTGCCAGTGGAGAAAGATGGTGAGATAAGTCTAATGTTGTGTGTGTGTTATGATGTTTTCTACGTGTTCCTACATCTCATAAGTGATATGATTGTAATATGTTTTAATGTTCATTTCGTATGTGTAGATGGTCAATATTCATTACTATTGAACCAATAGCTAGGATAGTCCAATGATTATTAATTTGAAAGCCACAACATATTCATGTAGAATTGGGATTCATCTTCATACGTATTTCTTAGAATTAGAGTGAGTATGGTTTTACGCCGCTTTTAGCAATATTCCAGCAATATCGCGACGGGGGACACATGAATGGGCTTCACATTGTACCCATATCGGGAATCGAACCCGGGTCTTCGGCGTGACGAGCGAACACTTTAACCACTAGGCTACCAAACCGCCCCTTAGAGTTAGAGGCTTTACAGAGGTAGTATCCCATAGGGAGTAAACATACATATAGGTTACATATTATTTAGGTCAGTGGAACAAGCCACCATTGTGACCTTCTTTATATATTCTGTCAGTTATTGTACATTATTGTTTCATTTAGTATTTCGTTATTCTTGATTTTAAATCTCATTCAGTCTTCATCGTTAATAAGTAATTAATTAAATCGGATACAATTTATTGATCAAATACATCTGAAATAAAGTATTTGAATATATAGACTAGTAACACGACATTCCTTACCTCCTTCCAGCATTGATCTATTGACCATTGATCCCTCAGAAATTTGTTCTTGGCTTCCCATTCTGAAATAGTACCATTTTTGGTCATGTATACTCCGCTGAACTGAAATAGACACCCTGAGAAAAACAGACAGAGACACAGACACACACACGCAGACACACAGACACACACAGACACACACAGACACACACACACACAGAGACACACACCCAGACACACACCAAGACACACACAGACAGACGCGCCGCTTAAAGGCTTGTATATTTCAAATGTTTGAGGCAATGTTATTTTTTACACGTCACATGTTTAGGACACTCAACATATACAGCGAACAATATATTCATGCCACGCCTATGTCAAAATACACATTAGGTCACTAGCGCGCCCAAACTTCAAAGGGTTTTCTTTACCTTTAGATGTGTCTTTGTAGCCGTCATGGTAAGCTACTGCGCCATCACAGACTTCCATCAATAGTGGTGAGGTGTGGATGAGGAAGTGTACCTGCTTCCCATCTACTATCAGGACACTGCTGGCCCCCACTTCCAGACTTAATGATGATACTTCAGAAAATGATCAGCTTAAATACCATTCCAATGACAGAGGCTAATTATAATGTGTTATGGGGAATTATATGACTTATTAATCATAATAGTAAATGTGTACAACGTAATATAGACACGTCATGTTGACATAGGTTTAAATATAACGTTTGCCAGCTACTGCAAAATGGAATTGAACAGTTTTGCAAAGACATGTTTCCTGAGGAACAATATGTATCGGTAAAAGTGCACAGAAATTGAAAATACGTTATATTTATTGTCTCTTATCCTGATAGTGATTGCGTGCTTGTTTCGTTTATGATGGTAGTATGTAGACTATATAAGGTCATGATCAATATAAGGCCATGACGTCATCCGAAATTCCCCGGCCGTCGTACTTCCCGAGAAATATTAACGTAAAATACACTTCATTATCTCATCCGGATTCGATTATTGACAAGCCGCGGTCATATATCTAAATGAGGCGTTTATAACAACTAAGAAACTATTCCGTTTCAGCTGATAATATTACACTCATACATATATATATATATGTGTATGTATGTACGTAGCGTATGTAATGTATATGTGTATAAATATCGCTGTTATGTTCTTTTTAAAATTATGTTGTTGGTATTAGTTTCATTGTATTTCGTACTAAGGGCCGTGAGGCCAGAAATACTTAATAGAGTATATCATTTGTCATTTGAATATACAAATATATCATTAGCGAATCGGAGGTTTGGGTGGCCCAGTCGCCTAAGGCGCCGCGATTCGCTGTGCAGAGTTGCGTCCCTTGGGCACTTTAGAAACCTATGATTGTGCGCTCGAATCCCGGTTCGCCCCGATTATGTTTCTAGGTTTGTCAGCACCATACCCGTTCTCGTGGGTTTCACCGAAGTGGTAAACGTCTGAGACCTGCATCACTTCGGGCTTTCCTCCCACATTAAGCTGACACGCCGCGATATAACTGGAATACTGTTAAAAGAGGCGTTAAACCCAACTCACTCACTCATTAGGGAATCGAGCATGTTGTCATATGAACGTAACAGGATGCATATAGTGCATTGTTGTTTTTGTATTGGCCGTAAGGTCAACACGCCAGCTGACGCAAGCTAATGCATGGTCATTGTATAATGGGTGTGTGTCTGATTTTGCAAAGGTATACAGCAATATTTTAACCTGATAATGAATAAATTTATTTATATACCCGAATAATAATACGAAGTAAATAACCCTTCCGCAGTATTGTATATAGATGTATGGATCTTTTCATCACCTGTTTGAAAATATATATAAATGTTCACTGAGTGGAATCGTGCGGTTGTGTGGCTGCTTTATTTGTGAACGGTGACGATTCATTCTTCTTTTTAATTTAAATGTGAACGGTGAAGATCATATATCGGAAAGACTGAACTTAAATTAAAAAGAAGAATGAATCTTCACCGACTTCATTTGCGGTGAGGCAGATGAATACATCTTCAATTCAGTTTGACAATAATAAACGTTCCCCCGCCCGTCCGCCCGGTAACACTGAATGTAAACATGTTCTATATGTCCCCTGGCTACAGCGTAAACGTATAATTTGAAAACAATCTTAGATGAACATGCTACTAAAGTAATTGTCAATTATAAAATTGCTGAACAGACAATCTCATTAAAATCAGATCAGAGCTCACGTCAGACCGACCTTGCGCGAACTTTGACCGATCAATCGAATGACCAATCAGAAGGCAGTTTTCTCGTTCTTTACGGCACTAATTTCAAATTGGCGACTACGCTTCGAAACATATTTTGACAAATTCTCGATTAAAAATTTGAAACCTGAACAAAAGAACATTCTGGAATGGCTAATAGATGGGCTAGATTGTATGGATTCAGTCGTTAAACCCGTAACTATCGTTCGGAGTTAAAGTTTTCGAGGTTGCATGATTAGAAATCACATTCCGACAGTCACTTTCATAATCTGGTAAGCGATGCTCTGATTGGTCGGATAAAAGGTCGTTCTGACGTGACCCCTAATGGGATGTCCTCAGATCTTGTTTGGCGGTAGCGAGAACTGAGGTCTGATTTTAATGAGATTGCATAAAAGAAGACATCGTGATACAACTAAAATACGGTAAACTGTAGTTAAAAATCAACTGCAACTGCAACTAAAAGTAATTACAGTATGGTCGACGACCCACTGAACATATTCAGATTATGAGAATATACCTTTGTGCAAAGTCTGAACAAACCTATCGCCAGACAGGAGTTGACCACACACCGAACAATCAGGGAGTTGTCGTCCACGAATATGTTTTATAATCTGTATACCAATAGCACGACATGTTAAATGTTCAATGAATTGTGGATGTTTAAATGTGATCATGTCGAATGCATTTGATCTGTCATTGTGTGTATCAACAGTTGCAGATACAGAGTTAAGATTTGTCATTCACCCTTCATGTTTAAGTGCTCGCATGTGTTTGTTACGTGTGCCACCGGTGGGACAGGATACGCTCACATTTTCGCGAACACCTGGCGTCATCACTATTTGAGAAGGGTTCATAAACACCTTCTTATGATATAGTCGGAATCGATCAGTGGAGTCCTGATGATTATTGACAAGGCGTTGTCGCTTTATTTTTAGTTACATATGATGGGTACTTGCCCTGTACACAACAGTTATGTAAAACCCAAATACATTTACAAGAGAGACGACCTGAAATATACCTGTCCCTTCAACTTTGGCGTTGTGGGGCAAAGTAGCGGATTGCGTATCACTTTCGTTAATTCTTTTTGGCACGTGATGATAGGTTACTTGATCTTTAATGTGTGCATACATTTATAATTACGGTTGTTGCTACAGTGGTACCTCATTACCGAGGCACTGAATGTTGTAACCTTGATCAAACAACTTACAAGTCTTGGTAGAAAGGTGAGGTGAGGTGAGGTGAAATGGGGTTTAACGGCGCGTCCAAGATTATTGCACTTATATAGCGACGTGCATGCACGTGTGTGTGTGTGTGTGTGTGTGTGTGTGTGTGTGTGTGTGTGTGGGTGTGTCTGCTTGTACTAGTCCGGACTGATGCCGATTTATAGTGCTAGCTCACTGAGATACCATGCTGCAGTTTAACATGAATGCCCCACTCAGACACAGTATACTGACTCCGAGTCGACGGTTCTTGTTTTATCCCCTTAATGCCTAGCGCCAGACAGGGTAACATGTACCATCTTTTGGTATGACGCTGCCGGGGATCGAACCCCGGACCTTCCGCTCTCCGGGCGGACGCTCTACCACTAGACCACGGAGGCGGTCCTTGGTAGAAAGAGTATGTTCGATTGTTTCTCAAAAGTTGAGAAATGTAGACATCAAAGCAAGAGCTGCTGGGATATTGCTCGCCATAAAAGTTGACGATTGGAAAGTTGAAGTCATTCTTCTTGTCATACATTTACAGTCTTGTGGAGAGCATTTTGTTTTGTGAATTTTTATGTAGAGATCTAAATATCAAACTGATGAGGCAGTCTCACTGGTCTCCTTTATTTCTAGTTCAAGTGGGTAAATCAGTGGAAGGAAATTGGCTTTTTGATGGTTATTGACCGGTGTCCGAGAACCCATAAACCTGAAGCTTAAGTTGAAGTTCGTGGCAAATATCAAGTCAATTGTTCACCTGAAAACAGCTTGGGAACATTTGGTACAAGTCAAATGAGGGAATTGAATCGGACATCATTTTTGTCACCGATAAAAATCTGGAAATGTCCTCCACGTGTCTACCATAAAACGTTTTGAAAACTTTACCGAGGCCTTGAATGTTGTAACCTTGATCAGACAACTTCTGAGCCAGAGTCTTATGTGATCATATTCAGTTTATTTCAAATCAATTCTCAGTATCTACATGACATGACTGTAATCCTTACAACAGCAACTGTACCCAATCAAATACAAATTGAATTTAGAATTACATGTAGGTGTAAACTTGGTTTAGAATATCTTGGTTGAGTGCATGGTTCACTGTTTCATCTCAGCAGTAATACAACATCTGTTAAACAGCACAGTGTCTGAAACAAACACATTAATTCTAATTCTTCTTTTTACTACTACTACTACTACTACTACTACTACTACTACTACTACTACTACTACTACTACTACTACTACTACAGATCACACGCAATAATACTGCCTTAGTTTGGTTCATTTAGCAAAATGTTATTCAGAAATGTAACAATGTCACTCATCTTGCTAGGATCTTGCTGTGCTATGTTCACGATAGAAGATACATTTAATTCTGTTCTCCAGCGAACATGATCTGAAAGGTTCCTGATTCTTTGAAGCAGTTTGACATAGTTGAAAAAGCTTTGATGATTTGCCGAAGGATGAAAAACGTTTTGTGTTTCAATTAAAACGCTACGCAGGAACACAGAAAGACGTTTCAGTTGGGCGATGTCTCCATGGTCTGCAAGTGCCAACAGTGACAGGAATGCTTCTTCAGTGCAGGAGCGCCACGGTTCATTCATTGTTTTCACTTTTGCAAGCATATATTCAAGGTGAAAGTTATCACCAGTCTCGGTGGAAGCATGTAGGCTGTTAATGTCATTGCCTGGAAGGTCACATCCAGATGTTACACCATGGGAATGTTCTTTGACTACAGAGTCACCGGTCGTTTGGGTGCCTTCTTGAAGAGACGTGATTGGTATTTGGTTTTCACAGGTTTGCGGCGGATCTTGAAACAAATTTGTCATCAATGTCCCGACAATGTGACCGTCTTCTTGGTGTTTGGAAGCTCTTTTTGTCTTGGTGGGATGCAAAGATTTCCCGTCGGTACAGTCATGAGAAGAGACCTTGACCTTCCCCTGCAGCTTGATGTCAGAGGGGGACACAACGATGAAGTCATCTACTTCTTCAAAAATGTAACTGTCTTCATCAGTAGAGGGTTCAGATGTGCCATGGTTTGAAGAAAAACTACCTCTGAGCCAATTCCAGACGCCGGTGTAAGATGATGCCTGAAAAATGAGATGCTATTATGAGGGAGTATTTGTTGACGGAAATCGAAGCCCCTATAAAAATATCAATATATGGATACGACTAATGATAATAATACGTGACATTATAACGTTAGGTGACAGAAAACGCGTTTTGTTATAACGGGGCAAGTATAGGTTTTGCACCGGCTCTCATTTCAATAAAGAAACAAGGAAATGCAGAATATGGAATTTGAATTTATAAAAGAATACTCACTACACCAATGGTAGGTCGGTATGAAGATAATGAACCGTCTTCCTGAATACCTGTCGATAGAAAAGTACACATTGCAACATATTTCATTAATGCACATTGTATATATATAGTAACATGGCTTTGAGCGCATTATCAAATGCATTCTTTATTGTTACAAAACCGATAAATTATAAAATGAGGCGACTCACTCTAAAACAGCTGTATAATAATATGAACAGCAGGCTGTGTATATAATTATTTTATGCTGTTGTATGGGTGTTTTCAGATTGGATTTGTTATAGGTCAGACCTCAGTCATATTGGCCCGAGGCATACTTTATTGGCCCGAGGCAACGCAATACAACCTGTCGGGTGCCAGTGTGACCGACTGAGAACCTTTAACAATAACCTAGCGAATATGAAAGCACAGATTTAATGACATTTATTGACCACCTAAACTTTTTGTTTCCAAGTAGTAACAGTCAAGGAGATCATGAGAAAGCATACAAATTGAAATTGATGAATACTGCTCTAATGAACGATGGAAGTATCAACATTCAAAAATTACACATACTGCTGTAAGCTATCGTATTGTATATTCTGAATAAACAGCCGAGGGGCATCACATATGGATGCATGATTCCTGTGTGTGATATAATAAACACTATTGTAGCTGTTTGTAAAAGGGAGGAGAACTGAATGTGTGAGCATTTTAGACTTTACTGTTGCTTCGTATCGTAACAGGTTATTTATACGTCATGAAATAGGGTTCAAGCACATGTGGTATAGGCGTTTGATTTGTGGACAGTGTAGGGCACTTGAAGTATAGGCGTTTGATTTGTGGACAGTGTAGGGCACTTGAAGTATAGGAGTTTGATTTGTGGACAGTGTAGGGCACTTGAAGCATAGGAGTTTGATTTGTGGACAGTGTAGGGCGCTTGAAGTATAGGAGTTTGATTTGTGGACAGTGTAGGACACTTGTGGTATAGGCGTTTGAGTTTTGGACAGTGTAGGGCACTTGCAGTATAGGGGTTTGATTTGTCGACATTGTAGGGCACTTGAAGTATAGGAGTTTGATTTGTGGACAGTGTAGGGCACTTGAAGTATAGGAGTTTGATTTGTGGACAGTGTAGGGCACTTGAAGTGTAGGGGTTTGATTTGTGGACAGTGTAGGGCACTTGAAGTGTAGGAGTTTGATTTGTGGACAATGTAGGACACTTGTGGTATAGGCGTTTGAGTTTTGGACTATGCAGTACACTTAAAGTATATGAGTTTGATTTGTGGACAGTGTAGGACACTTGTGGAATAGTAGTTTGATTTGTGAACGGCGTAGGACACTTGTGGTATAGGCGTTTGAGTTGTGAACGGTGTAAAGCACTTGAAGTATAGGTGTTTGAGTTTTTGACTGTGTAGTACACTTGAAGTATATGAATTTGATTTGTGGACAATGTAGACCACTTCTAGTATAGGAGTTTAATTTGTGAACGGTGTAGGGTACTTGAAGTATAGGCGTTTGATTTGTAGACAGTGTAGAACATGTGGTATAGGCGTTTGATTAACGGACAGTACAGATCACTTGTGGTATAGATGATGGAAATGTGGACAGTGAATAACACATGTGGTATAGGCGTTGGATAGTCGAGTGTAGAACACATGTGATACCTGATTTCGCCTCTTTAGGAATTGTCATGGGCGTTTTGGATTCATCAATCGCGCCAGTGACACCGGTCTTGGAGTCAGAATTCAATTTATCCTCTGTCAGCTGTGAGTGTACAACATGTGGGTTGGCTTCACCTTGGCAACCAAGTCTTATGTCTACACCGTGACTAGTCACTGGAACATAAAATGTCAAAACCTGAGAATAACCAGTCTTGATTATCCGCCGAAACAGATTCCAGGTAAAAGGTAAAAGTAGCTGTTAAAAATTACATGACTGGCCCACTGAAAATCAGTGTCGCCATCAGATGCGAAAATGTTAACAAACTTTAGTCTTGACCGTTATCAAATTAAGGGAAACGACACACAAATTAAATGTTTTAAAATATGTTATCTCGAATGTCTTTAATTATCAAATCATTAATTATCGAAGACGGAATCACGGTACTTGTGTCGTTTTTAGAATCGGATCACAGTATGATTTGATTGAACTTACAATTAATTTCTATGGAGCCAACTGAAGCCTTTCGAACAGAAGCTATTTCACCATCTTCATCTGAAACCCAAACATATTCACGTCACTTGTGATGTTGTTGAAACGTGAGCGTATGAGTAATTTGGAAATGAAACCGCTTTGAACAAAATTTAAGTTATAGCTTAATGGAGAACGAAAGCAAGCAATGCAGGTTTTAGTCCTTTTCTCACTTTGGTGAAATCAACGACCCTGACATGCCTGGTGAGTGCTAGGCTGCTCAGCGAATTGCCTCCCATGACCACCCATAGCCAGATTTTACATTTAAATGTACACCATGATCACACCAGAAAGTGTCCTTACCGTTGTCAATTATGCTATCTTCTTTGGCGCCAAAGGAGTTGATGTTAATATCTGTGGAAGAGAATACATGAAAGTATACATATTGTTAAAACATGCTTCAGTAGGAAGGGATATGTGTTTAAAAGTTGAAAATGTAATACCATAATCTCCTACCCAATGTGGCGCTTTTGGATTTCGGGGTGAACAAATACGTCCATATATCCCATGTCCATATGATTCCAGGGAAACTTTTTTCCTGGAAAAGGTACCCCTTAAATATTGACCTCTGAAAACTGCAACTATAGTACAAATATACACGACTTGATGCCACAGCAATCACTGATACAGTGCTTAATATCTTGAACCGAGCTCACTTCTCCGTACACCTTCTGCTCCCAGATATAACCAAGGAGCCAATACACGTATTGTTGCAATTGTCAAAAACTTCTGAAACAGACACACTGTCACCTACATGTATCAATGAGAGTATTTCTCAGTCTACATTTCTGAATAAAAGCGGCAAAACAGTTTCCATAATCATAAGAAATGTCTGCTAAAAGCAGAGCCCATTGTACGATTCCGGCTATATCATGGGCATGTGTTTATGAATCACTATCAAATAGTGATGACACCAGGTACATGCGAAAAGGTGTATCCTACACACGTGAACAACGTTTATTGTCACCAATAAACTTCAACATATATAGTTGGAGCTTAATTAGTTTTCTGAGACACCTGTTCCGTAATATATTTTTAGGGGGCTTGTTTTCCGGAGGGCAGTTGCATGCTTGGAGTGCTCCCATATGTGACATCCTTACCATGTCAGTTGCTGACTGGGTTAACCTCTTTGGTAATGTGGACAAGGCGTCCGACATCGGATCAGAAGGTCCGTGTCGAGTCCCAATGGGACTCAGATATGTTATGGCGCCACATTTTGACACAGTTACAAATTAAAGGTTCTCACTGTATTGCGTGGCATGGGTCGTGACGTTGTCCCCATGCACGACGCCGGCGACGTTGGCGTTAGACAAGTTGCTGTTGTAGGCCCCTGTTGCTGACCTGAGTCCAAGATCAGCCCTGCATGGCGTCCCATTGTAACTATCATCTAAAATACATTAGTATAAGGTAATATTTTTTATTATGTAGTAGTATCATGATCGTTTGTAATAAAAAGGTTCGAAAAACATTGATGTGTTGAATGATAAATAGTCATGTCATTCTTAGACACCGTGACGTTATATATAACACTTGATATCGTGTCACAGTGTCACACAAAGTAGGACAATTGTATGCTGTATTATTTTCTCTACAACGAGAGAAGAAATCCGTTGACTGGCGTCAAGGCTATGCTGATTAACCCGGGAGTAGGTCATTGATAAAGGACATATCTGTGCATTGGATGTCGCTATTTCAATAGCTTATATACTAGTCAAATTATTTTGCCGGGCATGACTTTACATCAACATATATACCTGGTCTTGATGTACAATGAATTGGAATTGGAACCATCATGTTTTTGTTTCACACGCCCCAAAGTAAACGCAACTATACTATAGCTGGTACACCTTGACTTAAAGTTAATCATTTTATATTCTCCCTGGCCAGAATTCTGGGTTATCAGTCATTCATTATCGAGCTCCAGTACGTATGAACTTGTGACTCGCATGTGTGTTAAAGGGACTACGGGGGTCCCTTTATCACATGCTAGCTTGTTAAAGGTTTATGAAAATGGGCTCCAGAACGTGTGTCATAGTCCCCCTTTAAAGTGCTACATGCATGCAAAGTAATGTTGACATTTGACGCATTGCGTATGTTTATAACATAATGATACCAGTGTTTACTGCGTGTATTCAGGGACAGAGACTTTGGGTACAAACATAAGAAGGAAGTTGTTATCCAGATACATAACGCTGTCATGGTCACTTATTGTCTACCAAACAATTATTAATTTCTTGCTTTATGTATTACGATTATTGTATTCTTATATAACCTATGTGTCACTTGGAATACAGTTTGGTATATATGCCAATGAAGAATATGCAGTTTTATGAAAAAACAAACTGGTTTGACACATGGGATGTTGATGAAGGGTGGTGTATTGTATTAAACAAAGAAGTTATTAAAGTATTACCTTCGCATGTGGTGCTCTCCTGACAAACCGTGTTATCTTTAGCCATGAAGCCACCAGTATTGACCCCTACGGGGGCACATACGACAGAGGACTGACATTTACTCTCCATTCTAAAAAAGAAAAACAGTTAATTAATGTATGACGACTCATAGAAGAATGAATAAAATAATCGGTTAACAATAAGTAACAATTGACGAAAGTCGTCATGTCTCATGTATTCATCTACAACAATTATATATTCATGTATACATGTTTGGCGAACCTTGTGAAGGGCTTGTTTAAAAGAAGTAAATTCTATTTAAGAATGAACTGTAAATGGGAAGTAAACCCCTTGTAATTACAAAAGTTCCACCCACCTTCACGTGTTATTCTGTAGCCGTCATGATGGGCAATAAGTACCTTGTAGTTGGTCATGCTTCTCACATCCACAGGGTACTGATACAGCCTACACCAGTGCATGTGTTTATACTCACCATGTTGTCATTCACAGAAATAGGGACGGGGTTGTTTGTTATGTTGTCTCTTAAAATAGGGGACAGCATCTGATGTGACCTCATCTGTAATATGTTCTATAACTCAGTTGATATCATAAGATCGGTACGTTTTAATGTTATTTGCTTTTTTCTTTACTTCTTTGTCGTATGGATAAAATACATTATCTCATTTACTGGTGTAAATATGAATGACGTCCTTGGTAATATTCATATTAATATTTCAGTTCAAACAAAATGAAGCGACAAATCCGAGACGTTATACAATTAACAGTTATAGTGATGACCTCAGGTATTTGCGAAACCAGAATCCGACGTGAATGAGGGTCAAATTCAAACACGGAAGTCTCCCTGAAACATATTTAAACCTCCATTATAATACCTTTACCGCTATTGACGTGACCCATAATAACACATCAGTGTGACTAAATCCGTTAGCAATCCATGATTGTTCGGAAAGTCTCCCTTGCTTTCATTACTCAACGAGTAACAGTTACAAGGGGGTGATCCTAGGGAAAGGAAAGCCATTCTGTGGCATACGGGCACTAATCAGTGCCTTAAGACAACAGGGGCTCAGTGGAATGGTTCCTAGGGGCAGTATACCGAGCATTGCAGTATTGTTCACATGCCTCCATATTGCCTTCACTGTCGAAGGTTTATATAACATACTGTATGAACTGAAGTGCAAGGTCTTAAGGTTACTTTCACGTACAATGGACTCTGTTTTTAGAATTTATTTCTTAAGACGAGGAAACGTTTTCTGTCCCTTCCTGTATGAAGACATGACATTAACGTATATGTTTATATAGATATACATTGCACAATGACAGCAGTTGTGGTCAAGTTAAAAATATCGTGCATTATGTCACTGGAGTAGGGCTTACCTCATAACCGTGTTATCTATGTGATCATGATCGTTAGGGGTTGCTAACACAGGCTGACGGTACTATTCATAGACTGAATCACGCAACTCTGCACAGCGAATCGCGGCGCCTTAGACGATTGTGCCATCCGTGCCCCCGTGGCATATATACATTTATATACAAACGTATATTTAAAGAAGAAGGAGTTGAATATATAACGCCAACGCATTAAGCTATAGCTGTTAAAATATTTATCATCACTTATTTATTACAGTGACTGTTATCGTGAAAGTATATAACTCAAACATCCCCATCAGTTTTATAACTTTAAGCTGGCATATATCATTTGTCATCCCAAACTGGCTTCCAAAGGATACATATCGCTTTGCAGTCCACCGATTGTAACCGATGACGTCATAATCAAATGACATCACTAATCCCTCTGCCACAGAGGCTTGGTAGCCTTGGTAGTGTTGACACTGAGGACACTGGTTTTCACAGTTTATAAACTGAAGAACGATTTGGGATGATAAATGGAATCTCACACTTGTGTCTTCCGGTATGAAATATATCAACACTCATCTATAAAAGTTTAAACCTCGACCTTCGAATTTTAAACTTTTATCGGTGATATGATGGATATCAAAAGACACTTCGGTGAGATTCTCTACACACCGGACTATAACAGGATGGTTTAACCCTGACTTGAACAATATTTCAGCGCCAAAGCGTTTCAGTTTAATATGGGAAAAAAGCCCGAAGTTAAACAGATCTTAAACGGATCATGTGCGTCATGCTGCTTATATATAAAATACATATTGAATACGCCATTTTAAAACTGGCCCCCACAGGAGATATCGCTTGGGGAGATATCGTCTTTGGTAACCATGACGTCACAATCAAATGCCATCACTAATTGCTCTGCTACTGAATCTGTTGGCAGTACTTTTTACACTTAAGACACTGCTTATTACTGTCTACAAACTGAAAAAGTTGGGAAAATGATGTTGGATGACACATAAAATCGCACCCTCTCACGTGGAGTTTTTCCACTGTCTGACTTTTATCAACTCGTGTTGATATATTTGATATCAAAAGACACTCGGGTGAGATTCTCTATGAATACATAATTATGAGTGATGCGGACATAAAGAGCAATGTTTGAAGAAGAAAAGCATCCCATCAAACTGTCCTGCAGTAAAAATAAAAGTGACATTTGTGATTTCTGATATGATATATTTTGACTTGGTGCTTAATATACTTTTAACAACATGACTCAGTGTATGAAACAGTGTCTTTGTTTAAATGATATACAATAAATCTTATCTTAGTTGATAGGGTTTTCCTCATTATGTAACGTATGTATATATTTACAGGCATGTAAATGATAATACGTATAATCGATACTCATCTAGGTCACACTTGAGGTTATCACAATACTTACTGACACAATGGGATACAATTCGTATTATTCATTGTGTGTTTCAAAATAACGCTATTGATACTACACCAACCATAGTATGGGAAATAATCAAAAATTAAATCTGTTCATTACTGATGACACAAAGGGCTTTATTCTTTTCCTTAACATCCATAAATTAAATCTAATATTAACACATTAATATATGTAAGGTTGATAAGTATAGTTCAAGTTGCTTTTCACAATAACTTTTTCTTTCTTTTCATAACACCCATGGGATTCCGGGTTTGAATAGATCCCTAGCAATCTGTGCTGGTCGTAAGAGACGAACAAATGGATCGGGTGGTAAGACTCGATGACTTGGTTGACTGCGTGTCATCGTACCCGACGGCGTGAACCGTTGCTCACAATATCGATCTTATCTCAATTAATTACCTGCCGCTGTCATATAGCTGGGACATTGCAGAGTGCGGCCTAAAATATCAAACAAAATTGTTTGCATGTAATGTCCCTAATAATGCAAAGACGTTCTTGACACTGTTTAATAGGATTGTATAAGCACGTATCCTAGTAATATATGCTGTTGACATGCAACTACCCCATGGCACATCTCATACTGAAACCGTGAAGACCTGGGGTAGATAGGTCTTCAGCAACCCATGGATACTGTAAAAGGCGTCTATGCTTGTCGTAAGAGGCGACTAACGGGATCGGGTGGTTAGGCTCGCTAATCTGGTTGATGCATGTCATCGTATCCCAATTGCGTGGATCGATGCTCATGATGTCAATCACTGGACCTTCTCTGGTCCAGACTGGATTATTTACAGACCGCCGCCATATAAGTGGGATATTGCTGAGTGCGGCGTTAAATAACGAACATACAAACAAACATAACTCATATTGAAATCCCAAATGGATCGGTGTTAATGATTTCAATCACTGGATTGAACGGTCCGGATTCGATGATTTACAGACTACCCGTCATATAACTGGGATATTGCTGAGTGCGGCGTTAAAGAACAAACAGACAACAACTCATACTGAACACGCTGTCAAGATTTCATAATCTTACATAGTAATTTACAGAAACAAATAATAGACTCGTAGTTTTTGGGAAATGGAAATGAATCGAGCTTCCAGTAGTTCGAGAGAAGCCACACAGCCGACAAGGATTGTGTCATACAGTAACGTCGCCTCAGATGTATCGTGAAAACCTAGTCAATGTGATCAAAGATCATAAACAGCCTGTGACACTGTTCCTTTGTTCTTTATGGGGCGTTCTGTTGAGCAAGTAGTTAAAATCGATCGTTGAAAACCGGGAGCGACTTACTTACCTGCGTTGACGTTTCACTTCTTTCAAGTAAGACCAAGCTTTCACTTTGAATCATAAATAAGACCTGCTCTGAGGTTTAACTATTGAATACAAAATCGATTACTTCGTCTCTTGTGTTGATTCTTGCCTGGTTAAAAGTGAAGATCTTTTTCACACGAAAATCCCATGACGTGAAGCGAACATGCAACCACATATATCATGTTTATTATTATGATATGTGTGGATTGACCATTCTTCGGTCGAAAATGTTGATTTTTTTGTGATGATATTTTTTTATGACCATAAAGTCATTATTGTCGGAAATTCAAATGAACCCCTTTCGGACGTACAGAGGATATAGAATGTTTATTTTCTGACATAATGGTAGCTATCTAAATCATCATAATTATCATTTATATCAATACATGTAGGCCACATGCCTTTGTGTACAAACATATGGCAATGTGCAAACAAGAGTGTACTACATACATGCAAGACAATAGATGGGAATTAAATAATTTACATCTTGATAATTATATTTCAGATTTCTTAACAAACTAAGGATATAAGATTGTTCCACATTGGCATAGTACACAAACGTTGCTGTGTTGCTAATTATATTTGGACTTAAGTCAAACTTCTGTATATATGGGTATATACTATTTTAATTTGAGGTGAATTTGTTTTAGATGAACATAGGCTGAACATTTTAGCAAAATGCGGTCTTCGTTTTCAATATTATCAGAGTTACATACCTTAAATTTTCTTAATTCAAGCAGTATACTAAACTGCTGGCCACGCTTAATTTCTAATTTGTGACAGCTCAGCTGAAATCATACAACATGTTAAAACATTTCTTTGTTAAACGACATTCAGACATATGAAGTAAATGTAACTAGTATTTCACACTACAAATGACTGCAAAAATCTTAACAAGGTATCTACCACATTCACCAAGCAATGAATTAGTTAAAGCTGGCATCTGTACCTTTGAAAATATTTTACAGGCGTACGACTGAATCTTTTCTAATTGGTTTGTTTCACCAAAGCCCCAAATCTCCAACCCACACAAAAGCACAGGCATGAGCCTTCGAGGAATAGCCAAATCTCCTGTCGAAGGATTCATAATCAGTACGAACCGGTATTCGGGACCAACGGATCCTGCTACAACAAAGGGACACAACTCTCTGCCATGCACAGTCAATTTCGGCGTCATATATGATTTGGCCACTCCGTTCCCGACTGGATCGATAAGACGAAGAAAATTCAACGACAACTTAATTTGTTAAGAACAGCGAAACGAACGACGCATTTGACAAGTATTATTCAAATGTACCAGAAAACCGAGCGATACGATCCGGGGTGGAATAGGTCTTCAGCAACCCATGCTTGCCGTAAAAGGCGACTATGCTTGTCGTAAGAGGCGACTAACGGGATCGGGTGGTCAGGCTCGCTGACTTGGTTGATGCATGTAATCGTATCCGAATTACGTGGATCGATGCACGTGATATTAATCACTGGATTGTCTGGTCCAGACTCGATTATTTACAGACTGCCATCATATAGCTGGAATATTGCTGAGTGCGGCGTTAAACAACAAACCAACCAACCGACCATTTGCTGTACCATATTAAGGGTACATAATGTGTATTTTCCTGACATAGTGGTAGCCATCTGAATGAAGCGATTTGTAAGTTTCCAGGGGCAGGAGTCTCTCGCCACTGTAGAAACTGACGCCGTTCAGCATTCCCTGTCGAAACAAACATAAAGACATATAGAACACTACTGGTCACTGGGAGTGTGTGAGTGTGTGGGTTTGGTTTAAGGCCGCTTTGAACAGTATTTCAGTTATATCACGGCGTGTCAGCTTAATGTGAGGAAAAGTGATGCAGGTCATGGAAGTTAAATCTACGATATGATGCAGGCAAACTTAGAAATATAATCGAACCGGAATCGAACCCATCGGCTTTTGGCATGGCTAAGAAACGCAACTCTGTACAGAGAACTACGGCGCTTTAGACGACTGGGCCATCCATGCCTATTCCCCAAACTAGTACGAGACACGTGCGCCTATTGCCATGCAAACTGTAATGAGTTATTAATCGTGCCTGTGTATTGATACTTGAGTCCTGCGACTTTCTCTCACCAAAGAAACCTCAAAGTCATCATGAACTGTTTTGGGGTAATCTAGATTCTGTTTCGTGAGCTAGTCAGTTTGGTTTAACGCTGCTCTTAACTGTATTTCAGGTATATCAGAGCGTGTCAGAAAAGCCCGAAGTGATGCAGGTCTCAAACGTTTACCACTTTGGTGAAACCCACGAGCACGGATATGGTGCTGACACACCTAGAAACACAGACGGGGCGAACCGGATTCGAACCCACAATCATAAATTTCTGGCGTGCCCAAGGGACGCAACTCTGCACAGCGAATTGCGGCGTCTTACCCGACTGGGTCACTCGTGCCCACTTCGTGAGCTTGGAGGGTTGTATCATACTGTTCTTAAGGGAATCATAATGTAAGTAAGTATTTTGTCTACCTCGAACTTGGTGCTGGTGATAGTGACAACCAAGGTGAATTCCTCTTGGCTGGGTATTGAGAAAGACCCATCATCACCAGTTTGTTCCTCATCATCTATATAGATAGAGAAGCCCCCCCAGTTTGTGTTCGTCCACAGCAAACTAGCCACCTTCGTTTCACTAGGATCTTTTAACATGAGATAGATCCTGTAATATGGAACGTTGAGATTGTCAAAAGTCATGGGAACGTGAAAAAGCTGTGAAGGTACATAAACACAGACAACAGAAATAGTATAATAGCATTACAGTAGACTCCGTCACAGTGTCATAACTTGATTGAACGTCACAGCTTAACCTGCTTACACGTAGATTACCATTGTGAAAATCCGATGGCGGTTGCAAGATATACGTATTTATCACACACAAATTAGTTCACAGAAAATATTTTTCCGAGCTATAGATGTATGTTTACCCATGTACTTACGGCGTCTCTACAAGTCGGGATCCAATGACTTCAATGGTGACACCAGTTACCAATGGAGATGGTATCTTGAAAACTGTTTGTGTCTGAGAATGAAAGTCAGAGCTGTTACTGCAAAGTGCTATTGTTAATTGATAAAATGGGGCGGTCGGATAGCCTAGTGGTTAAAGCGTTCGCTCGTCACGCCGAAGACCCGGGTTCGATTCCCGACATGGGTACAATGTGTGAAGCCCATTTCTGGTGTCCCCCGCCGTGATATTGCTGGAATATTGCTAAAAGCGCCGTAAAACCATACTCACTCACTCACTCACTAATTGATAAAATGATGCACGTCCTTTTGAAGAATGACTCTTTCTTTATGATCCCCCATGTTTCTGTAAACTTGATTGGCCCTATTTCGTTCTTGTTCATTTCAGTGCCATTGCTTTACCGTTGACTAAATCCGCCAGGAATATTCCGAAGATCGTATTATTGTCGGCGTTGTTGTCAATCATGTTTATATTCATATTGTATTCTGGCGTGTTTAGGGTGAAAAATATTTTTCCAGATGATGCTGTAAAATATAACTTGTCTTGGGGTTAAACAACAACAATCACTGGGTACAGTGGATGTTCTGAACGATAACGTGATGCAGGCCCCAAGTATATGACTCATCCTTTCTGTAAAAAGGTATGTAAAACTTGAAGAAATAACTAAAACATATTGTCGCTCAAATAAAAATCCCAGTACATGTTTCAATCAGACTATCAAATAGCTGGAAATTACATGTATTTAATGCTTAACTTGTCTGGGTGTGACAGTTTGATCGCGATTGGGGTACTGGAATAGGTTTAATACAGCTACAATTATTACCGTAGTCTTACATGTTTGGACGCACCGTTCGGTGATTGTGGCTTAGAATACAAAATATACTGTACATGCTTAAAGTATCTTACAGTAAACTACGGTTATAACGAACTCAAAGGGGCCACTCAATTTAGTTCGTTATAACCGTAGTTCGTTATAAGCATATTTACAGCATATATACAGCAAATGCACGGACCAAAAAACAGTTCGTTATATCCGTCAGTTCGTTATAAGCGTGTTCGTTATAAACGTAGTTTACTGTAGTAAGGTTCGGTTGATTGCCTGTCAACATACTCTGACGGCATACTTACTCACACTGTCTGGTCCATACTTATGTACAGGCCGCCGTCATAGCTGGAGTATTGCTGATAACGGCGTTACACAACAAACAAAAACGTACCGGTTCTACCCACAGAGTCTGTCCACACATCGTCCTGGTGAGCCAGCTTCCTCCTGTGTAACACACGCTGTTGATGAAGTTTGGGTCCGTTACAGGCGTCGCTATGCTGGAACATCCAGTCGCTCTCGACGCATCTGAGTTGGGTACTTTGTAGAACTCACAGTCAGCTGGCAATGGACATTGAATATCATATATTATAGAAGATATTATATGAGTGTTCATGTCATACTATTTTTATGACGCGAGTGTCGAAAACATAGTATGACACGAACACGAATATAAATTTAACGCTAAATTAAACGTTTGAAACCCCACGCGGCGCGTTCGGTTCCAAATTCAATTTAAAACGGTTAAATCTACTGGTACTCCAGCGCTACATTGAAAACATAGTATGTTTATCTCCTAAGTGTATCAACTACTACTACTACTACTACTACTACTACTGCTACTACTACTACTACTACTACTACTACTACTACTACTACTACTACTACTACTACAACTACTACTACTACTCCCATTTTTTTCATTCATTATCTACAGCTGCGCCGCGTCTGTTTAAAATAAACCGTACGTTAATCTTAACATTAGCCATGATAACATTAAGAATTCTAAACAAAATATATTACCTCAATTGAGTGAATATCATCAATGAAATTGAACTTAGTTCACCATCGTTAATAATTAGCCTGTGAGACGACCCCTCTTATTCTCAATCGTTTTACCAATCATCACGCTTAATTTGTTTGCCTACCGTAAACAATAGAAGCTTGCAGTCCCGGAGCAGAACTTGAAAACCGTACAAATTTGGCACATAGATATGTGGTTTAAACATATTTATTTTTTACAAAAATGTGAAACTGGATTAGTAAACAAACGAAGCGCTTATGTTAATACCGCTCCATTACACATAAGACATGATACAGTAAATACACCAATGAAGGTTAGATGTAATAAATGAATTGTACATGCCAAGCTAGATGTGTATATGTAATGAATATATTTGCAGTCTATATTAAACAATTCATTTAATTAAAAATATGCCAGTTTTGAATAGAATCTAATGTTTGGATTTGCTCTTCCTTACTCAAATACGAACTTCCGCATAGCACTGTTTGTAAAGAATAACCATGTTGGTAAAAATACATTTCATTTCGAAAAACATAGTAATTTGTACACACAAAAAAGAAGTGTAAAGCATCTTCGTTATGATATCCACAGGGACATGTTTTTTTTTATCCAAAAAATAATCTATCATACTGATCATGATCTTCGTTAAGATCGCTGCAGCCAAGCCTGGGGCGACTGTGAATAATTTGACATAACCTGTTTCCATAATTTAAATCCCAGTGTAAACCATTATCTCCCCTTACGTGAAGCAAATTCTTAAATTGTGTAACGGTCTCTAGCCCCGTTAGGCTTTCTGGTAACATATTCCAAAGTTATGTTGTAGCTGGTATAAATGAATCTGCATAAGCTTTTGTTTTACACTTCACTGTTTGAAGATTAGTTTTATCCCTTAAGTTATAATCTGTGTTTTCCGAAACTGTATTAGGAATAAGTCTACAAAGATATTCCGAGGAGAAACGGTTCTTCATTTTGTAAAACATTACCAATTTTAAATTGTATCTTCTGTCTTTTAATGACTTACAATTTGTTTCATTCTAAATCTTCTGATGACTCGTACCCCGGACAGTGCCACATCTGGCATATAATTTTCCCACTAAATTAGCTTGTTCATTAGTACAGTTGTCCCAAATATGACAACAATAATCCAAAATCGGTCAAATAAATGATTTGTACATAGTTTCTAAGGTAGTTCGGGATAGACGATATTTATAACTTCTTAAACAATTAACCAGAGGACAACATTTCCTTGCAATATCATCAATGTGCATTTTCCATGTACAATTACTTTGTAAAGTAATACCTAGGTGCTTATGGCTTTATACATCTTTGCTTTCTGTACCATTCATATATAAGTTAGGTTTCCGACTAGGGTTTACTTTACGGGTAAATTGAATGGATTCAGTTTTTTCGGAACTAAATTAACTTGCCATCTTCCTTGAACAATGGCATTGATATAGTCTGGTGTCCCCCGCCGTGATATTGCTGGAATATTGCTAAAAGCTCATTGATATAGATAATAAACAATAATGGTCCCAAAATCGAGCCCTGTGGCACACCTGTTAAGACAGCTTTTGGATCTGCGCTATAACCATTATAACTACCTTCTGATATCGATTTTCTAAGTAACTATCAAACCATCTCAATAAATTTCCACAGATACCATGCTGTAGCTTTTAAATTATTCCTTTGTGCCACACTTTATCAAAAAGTTTATTTATGTCACTAAATACAGCTCTATCTTCCTTACCTTCATCTATAACCTTTGCAATAAAGTCATATGAACTGTTTGGTCTAGTGGTGACCTGGTACCTTTCGATAGATTGGGTTTTTCGAGAAGAAAATGTTTTCGAGATTCCATGGCAACAACTTTGACTTTGACTGGCGACAAAAGAAACTTTTTCATAGTTTTAAACCACTTTAGTTTTAAAAAATACACAAAAGATAGATGCATGAAGTAAAATGTATTGAAAAGATCAAAATCTCAACGAAATCAACATTTAAGTCATACAGCATCCGAAATTGGCATTGACAGTTGCCCGAATTAAGGTTGGGTAGAACAAACAAGATTTCAACATAATGGACTAAAGACACACACATTAAAAACCGCTCAAGTTAAATGACACGTCACATAAATGGCGTGTATGACCACCCCTGTTACAAGATACACAAATACTCTCAGAAAAACAGTCTCTGATGACGTCACGTGGGATACATCGCCATTCTTCTTTGATGGCCTGGATCAGTTCTTGTTGGTTGGCAGATGTGTTCTGTCGGGGACATGTCTGGGGAGCGGCAGGCCTCGGTAACACGTTGACGTTGTTGGCTGCAAGGACATTCTGTACGCTTCGAGCTGTATGGGATCTGGCATTGTCCTGTTGATAAAAGTCACCACGTGGAAGCTGTTGTAGAACTAGTAGAACAATCGGACGAAGAATGTCATACATGTAACGCTGAGCTGTCAAATGTACGTTAACGAAGACCAGTGGTGTTCTCTCTTGCCCACAATTCCTCCCAACACCATAACAACCCTCCACCATATGGCACAACCCCCTGAACGCAACACATCGTCGTTCGTTCTCCCCTTCGGTGGTAAACACGCTGTCGTCCATCAGCTATGAACAGACAGAACCGGCTTTAATCAGTGAAGACGACTCTCTTTCCAGTCCCGTCACTGCCAAGGACGTACAGTCTGGGCCCATCTCAATCTCTGACGACGATGTTTGCGTTGTCAATAACTGTCCTCTGTAAGGTCTGTAAGGCCTAATTCCCTGAGCCCTCAGTCTCCTGGCCACTGTCTCTCGAATAACCATATGTCTTACGGCATTCGTCGCTGATGACGTCACTGTCAGGAATCGATTCCAGAGATGCAAAGTACCGGTCTTTCTTGGGCGGCGTTACCCTGGGTCTGCCTGTTCTTGGCCTGTCTGATGTCTTCCCGGCAATACAGGGGCAACCAAAAGTGGTCATGGGTGGCTCCCACCTGTATCATACCCAGGGCCCGCTCGCGTTGTTCGGGTGTCAGTCGTGGCATTTCGGTGGTGGTTTGTTTTGTCAGTGTGAGTGTCTGACATGTCGTCCGTATCATTTACATACCCTTATTGCACGTGCCCAAGCAGCACGTGTTTTTCATTCTTTTGCATTTTCTAAAAAAACTCAAACGTGCAGTGGCTCACTTTCTATAAAGAACATTGATTGGTTTATTCACAGTAATAATGCCAGAGGCCCAAGTACATATACATATATGAAAGATAGATTTACATTGTGACAAGTAACAAATGTTACATAATATTATTGTTCAGAATATATACTTTTCTTGATAAATGTTACAAGCTTCTTCAACCATGTGATATTTCTTGTGTTCATCAAATTAGTGTAAATACGTTCATTTTCATATTCAGTTTGTAACAAACATAAATGATTACTTCGTAAATCATTACATGCAGGGCAGCTAAACAGAAAATGTAGTTCTTCATCTATTTCACCAGTATTACAATGTTTACAAATTCTTAAGGAATAATCTAATCCATCTCGTCTTCATGTATTACATCTTAATGGTTACTCACTTAACCCTAATAAGCATAAATATCGTCTTATTTCTCTACTCCTAAACGCAGTGATATAATATTCAGTACAGAAAGTTGTTTTAAACTTGGAATAATATCGCAATTTCCCAGAATCAAACACAGAAACGTGAAGAGTCTGCCAGTTACAATCTTTAAGTCGTTGCTTAAACATTGGAACAAAATGTTTTACATCCGACACACACTGTGCATTCCATACATCACCAAATCCTGCATATAGAAAAGATGTTTAACATGAGTAGCCCACGTTGTTCTACCACTTTCATCCAGTCTCTTCATTCATTGGTAACATTGAAAAGGGTATCTTCGGTTATCAATATGAACAATCTTACACCAAAATTTAATACATTTTATATGATCATCAACAGACAAATTGTTTCTTCGACACTCAAGCAAAATTGCAGTACTTCATACATGTTCACCAACACCCAATACAAATTTACAAAAACTAGCATGAAATGATTCAATAGATTGATGCATATGGAAACCCCATATTTAACCACCATATAATATTATAGGTTTTATTCTAACATCAAATAACTTAAAAAGAATATTAGAAAGTATGTTTGGAAATTTATTATATAACTTTTTGAGAACAAGCAACACTTTATTTCCCTGAGCAACCAACGTTTCCACTCCTTTAGTCCAAGATAATATACTTGAAAATATGACTCCAAGGTAATTGTAATAACTTGTTGTTTTGATAACCTTCCCATTCAAGTACCATTTCTCTGTCTTTCGTAAGTAACCTCCTCTTCTAAAAACTATTATTTCTGTTTTATCCATATTTTCTTCCAAACCCCAGGATTTGCAATAACCCTGACAGAAATATTACGTTGAAGTCCTATTACAGTATCATCCAATAGGCACAGATCATCAGCATATAGTAAAAGTAGAATTTCCAAATATTCTTGACCGACATTTATACCCCTAAGATTAGATTGTTCGAGATCATT